CCATCACCATCAGAAATTGATCGGGTTTTAGCAAACTTTTCATTCTAGGGGATAGATAATCATGCAATACTACTGCAGGCAGCATATATCGTTGGAAAGAGACATTCACACATGGGATAATGCCCTGTAGCACAATGACTTAAGTGGTGTGTTTTGAATGATCTTTGGAGTTCACATAAATTGATCATTTCTATCAAGTACAAAACAACTTACTAGGGGGTACTCGAGTATTGTTGTGAGGACCAGTCATGGGATGGAGATGAAAGAAAGTCTCAAGCTTTTTGTAGGTCCTAAGGGTCCAGTAATTCAAGTTTATAATAGCCCTTAGAATTCGAAGCTATAAGTCACAGTTCAGTCACAATCTTGATAGCAGTAGTTCATCAGCCATATTGACATTAATAGGCATATACCCAAAATATGCTTGACATCTTGGTATAATGAAGACTTAACATTGGTCAACTTTAGACTTGTGGCTAATGTAGTCAGTAGTTTGGACCAGTTGGGAAACTGGCAGTTTTGATATCATAAACTAAACCGACCAGCAGTTTGGATTACCTGAATTAGACTGTCAGTTTAATCAGTGCACTAGTTCGATTGGTTAGATATTGACTACATTGCTTATGTCCAGCTACTGTTTCTTCATCATGAACTTAGGATTAGCCAAGAGTGGGCTTTATACCTAGTGATCTGGACAATCAGAAAGCTGTAAGAGAAGATGCAGCCACACACAGCTAGAATATATATCAACTCCATTCATCTGTTAAGCCAAGACATATGTATCTGCCTCTAGGCATTCCATGGTTATATTCAAATTCTTGGTCAAAGATCGACTTATTCATGAAAAGTTCCTGGTTATTTCCCGTTCTTCTGTAGTTGGCCATATTAAATTTCCTTAATAATGCTCTGAATGGTGACTTCTATGAAATTAAAGTTACAGATATAACCAATAAGCACAAGTATAGGTTATACTAATCCTTTTGATAGTAATGGAGTGTATAATACTCGTGTCTGGAGCCGGATATTCTCCAATCACTTTCTCTGATATTCAGCATCTCTATATTAATTTCGACGCATCTTTGCAACCTTCATTTTTCTGATGCATAGTTATGCGAATGGTCAAACTCTCTCTCTCCATTTCAGAAAAGATACTTCGTCCGTGCATAATGATATCATTAATGCTCATCTCCTCGTCTGCCAGGGTTACATAAGGCACGAAATCTCCTCACTCGGATAGATAAATGTCCTCATACCATTAACTACCTACACATTGACGTGTTCCACGGAACATCTCAACATGGAGGACTTCGATATGGAAGACATGAATATGAAAGCCCTTGATAATCTAATCTTCCGGGTGGCAGAAGCTAAGACTCAAGAAAAGGTTCGGTATCCTCTCCGCAATCACTACCGAAAAGGTATTGGAAATAAAATTCAGAAATACATCCGCGAATCTACAGAAACTTGTACGAGGGTATATTGATTTAGATCATAGAGATGATGTACGAAGTTCACAAGCTAGTACAGAAATCAGCGGTATGATGATGTATCTGGCTGGAATTTTGTAAGGAACTACCTTTTATCAAAGTCTCCGTATATTAACTGTGATAAAGATTATATCCTGCACACTTCGGACTTCCCCCAGTTGGAAACCCAATTGCAAAACCTTCCGAAAAATCGCTGCCATAAACATCTCGCAAAAAAGATCATACATTATATCCAATTCAACAAAATACACATAGATACAGATTCCTTTCCATATTCTTCGAAGTTGGTAAAGACAACGATATACGTTTTCGTATTCACACTCCGCTGCTTACTCGAAGTTTGGAGATCTACCGACAACATCATGTTAGAGCCTCTGATAGAACTATGTCCTGTTCATGAGAATCATCTTCAAACATGTTCTTGGGCACAGCCTGCCACTGCCACTGCCAGCCTCAGTCTTAGTCTTAGATAGGCTGCACAGAAATAACCTGTGACCTATGGGTACTTGTGGGTAATCCTCTCTGTGGATTATCTATTAGAGTTATAGTCTACCCGTAGATTATTCATTGGTAGATTAATAGGTTGGTGAGTAATCTATTCAGATTCTCAAATAATCTGTCCTACTGGTAGATAATCTGCAAGTTCTATCATTGCAATTTTCAACCAATTGTACATGCCCTATGTTCGCGGAAAGCATACAGATCTGTGTTGAACCTGATGTCAAGCCATGGACTCTGATGTCCACTGGCAGTCCGGTCATTGAACAGATGATATGAAGAAAAACAAAAGGCAGCTTATTATACTGTAGCAAAGAGACAGTCTTGTACTCTGAACATTCCTAAGCTTGTGACTGATCTCCAACATCTTAATGCGAGTTTCTTCACATTGGGCCACAAACACATGGGTCGGAAAGATCCGTGGGCTTATTAATTATGTTTGCCGATACTACTCAGTAGCATGAAATTATAGTGATTGTATATCTGATCATGTTCACCCAAATATGAATCAGCTTATGTATCTCTTTTTCACTGCAACGAACTGCATTACCTTTTGCCATTTCTTCAGACAAACCATCAATATGCGAAGGTAAGTAAGATAACCCTGTATGAAACTCAACACTGCCAGCTCAGACCTGACCTAAAAACTTCCACATGCAGATCTAAATCTAAACACGAACTCAGTGACATCAAACTTTCAGTTGGCCACATCAAATTGCCACTTAAATCAATTCCCGATGAATCTAAGGCCCTTTGCAAGGACTCCTCGTCATCTCAACCCGAATCTGGCGAGCCTACAGGTAGTTATTTCATTCTGATATGATACTTAGCTAAATACATTAGTTCCAATGAAGGACAACAAAAGTTTCGATCAAATGAAGCCCCAGGCTGACTGCGAGAACAAAATCCTCACGAAAGCTCATGAAAATTTGAAAACAAGTCAGACTTGGGCCTGTAGTGACTGTTTCACTAGGAAGACATATACAATTCCGAGGAGAATCTAGAATATCACCGGCGAGGTGAACATCCAAGTTTCGTCCTTGCCACTGAAGACGTCACTTTAAAATGTGAATCTGAAAAGAGTATTCTTAGGAAGTTCGCATATTCTCTTGCCCTTTGGAAAAGGAACACAATGCTAACAGATAATTCAAAGGGTACATCGCTCATGCTTGTGGTAGCATAGCCTCGGAGAGCAACACATCAGATACCGATTCTCTCTGTACCGAATCAATGTCGAAAACACTTCGTATCGAAAAGAAGCCACCTTTTCCACCAATCGACCTCCAAACAAATACTCAAGTGTCTCCGGAGCAATGTTTGGAAGTATTTAAACATGTATCCGCAACACTTAACGAGCTCGAGCCCATAGCCCGCGAAGCTACCGTCAGTCAATCACGAAACCACCATGAACACTGTCAAGATCTGATTGAGCTTCATTGCAGACTACTTGATGATTATGTCGAGCTTCTTGGTATATTCCAGCATGGTGGTCTCATCTATTGATAGAATGCGAGAACTTAATAACCCGAGATTATGTAAACATCATTGGCATGACTACCTAGCCATTACCAAAATAGATCATGTGACTATGTCATCTGCTGATAACCCCAGAGTTCGTCCAATCATAAAGCACCATTTTATCAACCCCACATAATTTGATGTCTATACAATGAGGTGCTGCACCCACCCAAATATTTCTCGACTAATACCCGACGATTACTCTTCCAACGTCAACAACAATATATCTTTACACTAATCTCACTCAACGGGTTTCCTCGCATCTTTTCATCTTGATGTGAATTAACACAATATCTATCGCCTTCCGTTATCATCCATTTTATGACGAATATTGGACCAGCATACCTTCCTTCCTCGCCAATATTACCTTAACAAAAAATGTCTCTCGACAAAAGTTGCTGGACTTTGCGGGATGAGGATGATGAAGTAGCATGCGACACTTCAAAGTTAACAAAAGAAGAGCAATACAGGATGCTTTTGAAATGCTTTAGTAACTGGTCAAACGAACCCGAACTGCAACTTCCCGGATATTATAAGGACACCTTAGACAGCTTAGGTTCCATTGACTACATTCGGAATTGCCTTTCCATCGCAGAAAATACCTGGCCAGTGGAAATCGCTTTATAACAAATAAATAATCTTAAACGGGGCTACATCGATCCAAAAGATTTGATAGAACGGTTACACGGGTTGAAGCTATCAGATAACTTCAAATTGCGCAAATTTCACCACCCTCGCATGTTGTGGGAACTAATTCCCTTGGAGTTTGAGCATATAAATCTTGATAGTATTGCCAAGGATTTTGAACTCGAGGCATCCCCGCCGAGCTTATTATACTGGGTAGGTGATCGATTCGTTTTCTCTTGGCGGATGGAGATGAAGACGGGACAAAAATTTTCTATCTATTGTCAGTCGACCGAAGCTCGATGTGCTGCAGTCGAATTCAGTGTAAAGAGAATAAATCTGCATGATTTACGATTTGTGAGTATGAGAGACTTGATACGAAATCCTGGTGGTACCATTTTCCTATGGTACTTGATGGAGAGGCTTCTACGATTACAAGAAGAAGCGAACGATAGAAGGAAGGGTATATACTTGAAAACTTATAGTAGTGTAAAACCCCAACGAAAGGATACAATCGAATCCTAAAAGAAACAAAATCCGGATATAGTATTGAAAGATGAGCTGCGCCATTATGATACTTGGCCTTCCAATTTGATAACTGAGTTGGAGAATATAGATCGAGAGACTTTCCATTCTGGAAGGCAACAGTATCTGGCGATTCTCAAGGAGACAGAACCAAAAATGCATAAACTAATCAGATTCTGGAAAAGCTGTAGGCTTGTTACCGGGCAAAAGAGTCCACCATTACCCTGGTGGCAGGATCCGAAGACTAAAATTCGACAGCTTCCCATCCCAGAATTCTTGGAGCAACGACTGAGAACAATCGAGTTAAGAGATGATTTACGGTCCGAATCGAGTAAGAAGCTTCGAATGATAGAGGAGTGTCTTTGGATGGCGAAAATTTTGGACGGCGACTTGAATCCTGCAGCCAGTGATATAAGTCGCCAACAAGAACTATTAGATAAATTAGAAATTGTATGGCAGGAGCGTAAAGTATATAACACAGACGATACCGAGAACGAAATGATCTCCAAGATAAGACAATGGGGAAAGCGGAAGCCACATACCCATAAACACCTTTATACTTCATCACAGTTGATTATCGGCACCAATCTCGATACTAGCTCAGGAACGCTAGCTAGCACAGCTAGAAGTCCAATTCTTTCCGAGAAAGACAACTTACGATTGCACAAGGCGTCGGACTCACTCATCCCACTAAAAGATTTATGTCAAGTTCGAGAGAAAATGCCTCGGAGGTCGTCAGCCCGTCTTTCCAAAAAAAAAAAAGGCTACAGAGCGAGACTATAGGAAAATATGGCATGGTAGGCTTCGACCCAGGCTCGAAGCTATCAGCACTTCTACTTCTTGTATCAAGGCTGAAACAATACTCAAGTAGACCCAAAAGCCTAAAAACATTATAAAACAACGAAAAATCACAAAAGATAAGCCCCAAACTGTTTCGAAAACTCAAGCCACTACTTCCAGTTCAAAAATAACAAAAATAACCAATCCGTCAAACTCGATTAATGAATATCCTCGAATAACCAAAGTTGCAGGTGAAGGTATGGTACCTAACCCGAGATGTCGGTCACTATATTATCCTATCCCGATTATAGCTCAACCAAACAGAGTACAGAAAACTCGTAACAGTAACCAAAGGCAGAATCATAAGCTCGTAACTACCACACCAACGAAGAACTACAAGAACGGACTTGCTCGACTTGTTGGGCTACCCATCTCACACTGAGAGTCGATTATTTATATCGACATGGATCAAACGCCTGACACATATCACATACTTATGAATTGCAATTGTTTATGTTTTTGTTTGCCTCGTTCTGGTGCTTGATCCATAAAGTGAGATTGTGTTTTCCGTAAAACTGTGGAGACTGAGACGGAATTTTACTTGCGAGGTTCGGCTCACACTAAAACTAATGGAAGCCAGCCTTTAAGAAGACATAAATGTGTGTATAATGAATGCGAAGCACTCATTTCATGGAACAAATGTCGGAAGGATTGTCAAATTATAGAGGAAATGATCGAAGTTGAGGGGTGAAAAGGCATGTACTGGGACACAGCCGGCCTTATGGGCCAATGGTACTGATCTGGCTTTTTTAAAAAGCATGGGTGGACGTCTCCAATAGCTTTCTTCTCCGGATCCAGTGATGGTGGTGGTATTCGACTGTTTCAGATGGTTTATAGGTAATCGCTTTCATTGTTTCACCTTATGCTCATACTTGTATGTTCAGTATCGAATCGGGTTTCGCTTTCTTGTTGAAGTGTTTTCGAGGTGTGGCAGTTGAGCTCGGGGTTTGGTCATTTTCTTGTAGTCTAGCTGATGAGCAGAGGGTTGTAACGATCGAATTGATTAATAATTATGATGCAGCATAAAGATTTGCATGTATGTTATGTACGATGTTTAGTAGAACGCTTTACCTTTCGTTGTAACCTAGAGAGTGAGGGTTCTTTCAGCATACCGGCAGAGCGCAGCATCAATAACGAGTTGAAACGAAAGTTCAAAGACAACGTTTTAGCTGGGTGCTTCTCGCAAGATGCAGATATACGCTATAACTCTATCAGCACTCAAAAATCTGGCCTTTCTCAAACCAAGCTTGATACTTTCTATAGCTAGCGCCCGTGACCCCGAGTTTTGTATTGCCACGATTACCTAGGTACGTAAGATAATAATAGATTCATTACCTACCTAAGTAGCCGCGAGTCAATGAGAGGTATGAAATCCGCCAATAACTCGCAAGCTGATGAATAGATGATTCTGATTATTATCACATATATTCTTCCTTCTCATTTATAGAATCCTAACCTGTTCTAAGATATGATTGATTGGTCAATAACCGCGCCATACATCGATCCAAGCCAGAAAAGGGCGTTCATGTGCAGCTCTCCGTAGCTTGTATATATAACTGTATATATGTACCGGTACGTTTAAACAAGAACAAGATATGTAAGTAAAGTACCCAAGCATGTAGTTTCCACCTCAAACAAAACTCATCATCAAACCAAACAAAGAGATACAAAATATCAAGAATATAAATATATGTTTTCCGCAAGCTCTATTCGATATCAGATCCATTGTCGTGGGCATTACAGGAAAGGTTGAGTTGCCTGTTGTAGTCGGATACAAATTGTAATTAGAAAAACTATATGATATACAGCCCAAAGGTATAGTTAATGATTCGGTTGATATAGGATAATTTGCTATTAGAATAAAAGAATCTATTGTTTCCATTGTAACTATTATAATCTCATTGAAGACCTATCTACTACTCCCAGAAGTGAATATTGGCTGACTTGCAGTATAAATAGTGAAAGAGATATAATTGTTAAACATTTTCATGAAAGACATTGTAATAACTGAGTTGATTCAAGTTTTGTTAGTATTCATTGTTATCTTCCAAATTTTGAGAAAAGATTATTTACTTTTTATAATAACAGCCTGTTGTATTTGAGATGTAATATATGGCAAAATATAATACTAAAGCAAAACTTAATTGCACTTGCCTTATTATAAAGTATCAAAATAAATGAACAAATAATCACCTAACG